AACCAAAATATAAAACAAATTTTTCAAATATCTTCAATCATTATCATTAATAAAAATAAATAAATAATTAAGTATTAATATTATGCGTTTAAAATAATGAAGAATTGATGTGTTGTTTTCACCATCTTCATGTGAACTTATATATATATCTATATATATATATTTTTATGGGTATATATTAAAAATTTATAAATAATTGTAGTAACTTCTTTAAAAAATTGAAACTAAAAATAAACTATCAAAATATAATTAAATATTAAGAAACATAATTATTAGAAAAAAATATGATGACACTCAAGTCACGGTTAAAATTAGATTATGAAAAAAAAATATATTGGTTAATTTTTTTAATATTCGTAAAAACATATTATACAAAAGACTCGTGAAATAAAAAAATATATATATGAAACTAATATTTTATATCAATTAAAACATGGAGAGAGTTACAATTTTTTCTTTATGACGAATGAAATATGTATTGAAATAAAGGAAAAATAATAAATTGTGTGTATTTTTTTTCATATAAAATAAAAAGAATATGAAGAAGAGTAAAGATAAAAAAAACTAATAACTAAATCAATACCAGAGAAGAAACTAAAGAAAATCTTAATCTGTTTTTTATTATTCTATTTTTTAATTTTATATTTTTTTATTTTATTAACATTAATACCGTTTTTAATAAAAAAAAATAAAATCTACATGATTGAATTCTCATAAACTTAGATTTTTTTTTTTTACAATATGATTCGTTAACTTTGAAACTACAATTGAAGGAAGATGAATACCAACTTCACATTTTGGAGACCAGCTTCTTATGATTAGTACCATCTTGCACGATAAAAGAAATTTGAGTAGTTAGATTCTTTAGTGGAATTATCTCATGGGAAGAACACCAAGCATTCCTCCAATCATCGAATGTTTTAGTGTTGTAAAAGTTAGCCACGAGTGTGCAAGTTGGATATTCATCTTTTTTTTACATCACGGCCTTCAATTTTTACATTTAAAGTTTTTATAGTAATTCCAAACCTCCTAAATTTGGAAGGTCCTCTTCAACTGTTATTTTATCTATAAAAAAAAACTTTGCCTTTAGTCAACATGAAACTCCGGAAATCAAGCTAAGGCATCTACAAATCCAAACATAGGCGCTTAGAAACGTTACATAAATACTCATTTCCAAAAACATAAACTACAACCACTAAAACGTCTCTTTTATTGATTAATTCTATTTTAATCGAACAAGCTTGACACTAAATTATTTGTCACACTTTGTTGCAGATGACTCTATGTTTCATACATCCCCTCCCTGTCTATCCAACAACTTTTTATATCGTTTAACAATGTGCACCTATAATTTCCTCACACTAATGATTAACATAGGGTTTTTCAGGAAATAAAACACTGTATTACATCACATTGGGTTCCTATTAATGTTTTCACCCATCTTTTAGCATCATTTACCCACTTTTACCATATATAAGTTATATACCAATCATAGTTGTCTATCCTGGATTCAGAAAGATTTAGATGCAATTGGGCATCCTGGAATTCGCACGAGATATGAAAATGCTCAGTTGTTTTTGAAGGATTGGAATTCAACACTTGCTCAAGTGATAAAAGGGTTCAAAATATTCATTTTCATGTTTGCCAGCACAACGTATAGAATCCCGGACCAGTCGGTCAAAAGGTCGTATTCTTACACACGCCAGACATTCCATTTTTCTTTTTTCTTTACTTTTATACCTTTTTTCTTTCAGCTAGTGTGCCATCATGTAAAACAAGAGTAAAGGCAGTTTATCTTATCCCATATCCCAAAGAGGCATAGAATGTTTTTATACCATTTCAGAACAAGATGAAGAACCAAAATATGCTACTCTAGACTGTACTTACTTTCATTTCTGTCCTGAATACAAACTATTAACAGCACCAGTGATAATGACAAAGGCACATACATAAAATCATCACGTCTAAAACTTCAAACATACTGAGCACTGGAAAAATCTTGTGACACACTAGAGGAAAGTCTTGTGTTTTTTTTTGTCAGCACTAGAGGAAAATTTTGTGACACGAGGAACAATATTGTAGACTCTCTATCTCTTGTTTGCTGGGGAAAAAGGAGAAACTTCACCGCTTCTCACCCTCTCGTCTTAACACTGCAGAAGAGAAAAAATATTCTTTTGCTTTATTTGCACTGAAACACTATCTCAGCATAACCATGAAATGAAAAATATATAGATTAGGCATTCCACATTCTTTCAAGAGTTAGTTATGGGAAATAGAAAATGAACCTTGTACAGGACTGATCCCAATGTATCAGGGGAATTGAAGAAGCTTGTTAACAGCTGAGTCAGAGAATCTACGTGCCTTCTTAGGGTTTTTCTTCGAATCATTGAGGATTCAATTAAAAACTAAGATCAAAGAAGGCTGAAAAGAACAATAGTCAACAATTTCAAGTGTTCCTACTTACTAATCACACAAGTCTTTGTCTCAAGCAGCAAATAAAGCTCCTCCAGAGAGACGCCTCTAAAATGCACAAAGGTTCACCATTGAATCAAAGTGGAGTATGTTAACATGGTACTAAGCACACCATGGCTTACACAATAGATTCTTTCGGCATGTTCGGAAACATTTATTGGTGACAGTGTATATTCTTTATATCAAAATACGAAGGAGAGCGTAAAACAAATTAGCAGCAAATAGCAAAGCAATAGGATACAGATGAGCAGCGAGTCCATCAACAGTCTTCATCTCTTCATTCAATCTGCACCCCCACAAAATATGATAACGATGATTATAATGAATAAGTAACTAAACACTTAATCACCGGGCTTCATTGTTTATTTTAGTTTTCTGTCACGTGATCTATCCGTTTTCCAACAATTTCAATATAACAGTTAATAAGTATATTTAATAAAAATACCTGAGACAGGAATTTATATAGCGATTCCCCTTGTTTGCTGCATCAAGCACTGCAAATCCACAAATATAAACGTTTAAAATTATTCATCAAGATTCACCATTGACACTACAAAATCTAAAAATGATTCCTTTTATAAAGATAATTTCTAAGTTATGTAACATGAACAAAGAGCGACGATGAAAAAACTAGAACAATAAGTGACATTAAAGATAGTAGTTTTATCTTTTAGACAGACGAAAAATGCAAGATGAAAACATAACAGTGTAAAAAGAGTACTATTCAAATAAACGAAAATTCCAATTTACCAGTAACGGGAAATATTTGAAGAGATCGTCCAACATGAAGATATCAAGAAAAACAGAATTTAGAAAAACGTTTAATGAAGATCTTTGACGTGTTATTAAGAATATAGAAAAGTAGTTCTCCACCGTTTGAACGATAAGGCTGAAAGAATACACTTTTCGACATCATAGTTAGATATAAATTTAACAAAAAAAGACACGTGTAGTCATCTTATAAATCAATGTTGGGTGTCATTTTGGGGTTAGAAATTTTCTAACATAAATGCCAAATTGTTATTCAAATCAAGTGCATGTTCTGACCATGTATTCCTTTTTTACATCTCTTTTGAATTATGTTTTTATTTAATTATCATTTTTAAAATTTAAATAACATTAATCATTATTACTGTTTTTTGCATTATAACAATTTTGTTAAAAATATTTAAGGTACTAATGATTTTATTTCTATTTTTGTTATGGATATACTTGAAATTATTTTCTTATACATTAATTTTAATAAAAAAATTATGAATTAAACTCGACACTATGTAAAATTATTTTCTTAGACATTTCAAAATTTATAAATATAAACATGAGATAATAAGAGATAATGACAAGAAAAAAAAAATAAGGATTGAAAAGTAGTATGCATTACTGTTATTGTGGATGTATGGTATGGTTTACAAAGAAAATGGATATTTTTTTCCTTTGATTTAAGATTTTGCGCAATGGGATAAATTAATAAATGCAAACATCAATAAATAGTATAAAGTATTGATTAATAAAATCAAATTAAAAATATGGATTGTATTAAAAATGTAATTAAAAATAGTGAAAAATAAACAAATTTGGTTACAAGTTTATAACATAAGTATGTTATTTTATTTTTCAAAATCCCACTAGACGCAGACGTATCACAGTGGTACAAGTCTTTGGGTGATTTTTCAAACAGTTTCATTGTGTGGGTTTGGTTGAAAATTCAACAATATTAAATTAGCACGTGAAAATGATATTTTACTTCTTAAGTTAGGTTTGCTTATTAGAAGAATGGGAAAAGAAGAGTATCGTTTATTAAACATCTAACATCTGGGTTACTTAATTTTAATATATCTCTTATCGTATTTTATTTGTTTCATTTCTTTATTTAAATTCTAAATTCACTAAATATCAACTAAATACGTTCATGAAAATAATATTCTACATAATATATTTTTAAGAATAAGATAATTTTGATAATTTGTTTATAAATATAAAAAAATTATCTCTAATTAATATGTTAATTTTAATTATGAATTTTCTTTATTATAGAATTCAAATTACTAACAAATTATATTTTTAAATATTTTTTATGATTTAAAGAATTATTATCTGGTTAACTATTTTTATGCATATCTTTTACATTTTTCATTTGTTTTTTTATCATAATTTTTATTCAACTTTTTTGACATTAGGACTAAAATCCTTTTTATAATTAACATCAATGTTAAGAGAGATTATACTTGCTCTATCTTTTTATGAATATGTTATATGTAAATTTTATTTATTAATGTAATTTTTTCTTCTTATATATATCATTTAAAAAGATTTATATATTTTAATTAATACGATCTTTAGGTTTGTAATCAATTGTTTTGGGTTTAAATTAAGTTTGTAATATATTATCACGTGTGTTTCTACGAGGAACTGTGTTAATTTTTAAACAAAAATTATATACGATAGTTAAAATCAAAATCATGTTATAAAAATTATATACGAGGAACTGGACTCAAATATACATTTATAAAAATTAATCCTAACAAGAAAACGATAACAAAAAATAATGACATTTTAAGCATGTTAATACACGGGAAAAGTATATTATGTTGAGTTACTAAAAATATGTTACAATTTATTTAAAATGGACTTTCAAATACAAAAAATTTAAAGTTTTCAAATATATAATATATTTTGTAATCTATGAGTTTTATTTCAAGATTATATTTCATAAATAATAAAAGGTATAAATAGAGGATAAATATTTATTTTTTATTTTTATTTAAAATTTCATATCACTAAAATTCAATTTTTTGTGAATTTTTTCAATGTTGAAAGAATAACTAAGATTATGTTGTGTTATCAAAACATAGTATTGTGAAAGTAATAAGATAAGGAAAAAATTAGACCAAACGAAAGTGTGCTTTGGTAATCGATTCAAATCTTACTAATATATTTTTTTTAGTTTTTTTTCTCTCTCTCTTTTTTGGGGGATTGGTTATGAAGAAATGTTGATAGTCAAGGATTTGATTTTGGGAGTTTATAAGAAATATTTTGGATTTCTGAAAGCCTAAAAAAATATTTGCTTAAAAACACACTTCAATCCAAATAATTAGGATATGCAAGTTATGTGTATGGATTTGAGATATACGTATTTACATATACAAATTATGTTTCGAATCTGTTCTAAACAATCCTAGAATCGATTCTATCATCACCCACAATATATCCTTCTTCTTGTAAATAGGGAAGAACCGATTCGGTTTCCACCAGAATTGACTCCTAACATCAAATCTGCAACGTACAAATGAACAAATAATTAGGATAATTACCCAATTAACATAAAAATCAATAAATACAAATTCAATTTAGAAATATAAACATTTTGAATAATAAATTGATAAAAACTCGACCGAAAATAATCCAAATTTATAAGACAGTTAAAACATAATTAAACTTATATAAAACAATGAACGTGGGATTGTCTTAATTAAAAATTCAGTCATATCATAACATAAAGTCTGAGTTTCTTGTGCACATTTTTGTGTGCATAATAATAGCAACACTGCCATGGTCACTCTCTCTTTCTCGAGTCAACATCTGCAACACCGCACTTTTTGAGGCACAGTACTACCATCTACCTATCTTGTGGCACTCCAACAAACCCTACTTGCGGACTACATGTTTGGTGTCTTTGACTTCAATTATCTATTTCTCTTGGTTGTTGGTATGTATTTGTAATTTGGCTCTTTATAAGTGCTTAGATCCTAATAATTAGTGTTCTTTCTACAAAATCAGACTTAAAAAAAGCTATTTATAGATTGAATATAGTGCAAATCTATTTATCGTTTAAATCGGATAGCACAGTGAAATCTTTATCAGAAAAATGATTACCATTGACGGGAATGTAGGGACAACATTAGCAGTCCCATGTTAAAATCAATTACTTGTGGTGTTGTTTAAACCCTCAGAATTTCCTACCCAATGTACTGTGGATTTGCTCTTCTCTCATATTCAACTCCCATCATACACCCTGCTTGTTTTGTTTTTAATAGTTGAATATTATGACAAGGTTTTCTAGTCAGGGAACAAGGGTCATGGCAAGGAAGTAAATAAATCAAGAGATAGATAGATAGATAGATAGAGAGAGAGAGAGGTAGACAAGTCTAACAAACAAACTTCTCTTTCTTTAGCCATCTTATCACATAAAACTGCAGATTTATTGTGTGGTGTTCGTTCAGTAATTTTAATCTGTATGAGACAAGTTGTGTCTACTCTGCAAAGCCAGAAAACATGGTGCCAGAGAACATGAAGAAACAACTTGCTTTGTCTGTGAGAAGCATCCAATGGAGCTATGCAATTCTCTGGACTGATTCAACCACCCAACCAGGGTACCAACCAACTATTCTATTCATATTTGCCTACTCTGTTCTATTTTCAATTGTTTGACTTTGATCTTTCTCCTTCTTCAATATTTTGCTTTCTCCAATACATACAAAATTTGCCATGATTGAGCCTCAGGATAGGATGCATCTTTTTCCTGTGTAGTTTGGGTTATGTTAATACAAGATAATAAGTAAATAAACAAACAATTGTAACCTGTCCATGTTTTCTCATCTATGGTGTATGGTTGACTAAATGGCAATTTGAAATTCTGAATCTACTGTTTGCATTTTCTTGTATTATTGCTTGTGAGGCATTTGGTTTGGGGGTGGTATTCAATTTTTTGTTTCTAACAGGGTATTGAGATGGGGGGAAGGGTATTACAATGGAGACATTAAGACAAGGAAAACAAGTCAAGGGGTGGAACTTAATTCTGACCAAATAGGGTTGCAGAGGAGTGAGCAGCTGCGAGAGCTATTCAAATCCCTCAAAACTACAGAAATCACCCCACAAAGCAAACGGCCTTCGGCAGCACTGTCCCCAGAAGATCTCACAGATGCTGAGTGGTATTACTTGGTTTGCATGTCCTTCGTATTCAACATTGGCCAAGGGTAAATAGTAAATCTCCCCTATTTTTCTTTCTTTCAAGATTTGGATCATCAAGATATGTTCCCAAAATCGGGTGTTTTACTGATTTATAATCTCAAGGGTTAGTGAATCTTAGTTATTCAAATCTTCGTGTTCTGGTAGGTTACCAGGAAGAGTTCTGGCAAAGGGTCAATCCATTTGGCTCAACAATGCGCATTCCGCTGACTGTAAAGTTTTTAGTCGTTCTCTGCTCGCAAAGGTGGATTCATTTTCTTGATTTCACTCGTTCTGTCATTCTTCTGCTTTTGGTTAAATCTTGAATTCTTGCACTCTGGCTGTCTACCATGCTTGAAATGACAGATGATCTGAATTTTCTTCTTTGTTTGGTTTTTGTTCCATGAATAAACCTGTGGCAATTCTCTCATGCTCAGAGTGCATCCATCGAGGTACTATCTTGTTTTTTATTTACTTAATCGTCCTTGTTTTTATAATCTTTTATGTGTAATTTTCAGTTAGTTGAGTGCCATCAAATATGATGTAGAGAAATTTAGATTTGTTAGAACTCAGAATAGATTTTCCTTTTGAAACCACTCTACAGTGTTTGATCCAGGCACTGCTGCAACGGTATCTATCTGTTATAGTTTCAAAGCATAGAAGTAAACCTATAGTTTACTCTCTAAAATTGTTACTTGTTCCATGCACGTAGTTTTCTTCAACACAAGTAACTAGGATTCCAAATATAAGACTTTGAAACTAATTTGTGCCAAATTTAGTAGGCAAAGACTAATCAATGCACTGTGTAATTTGTTTCCTTAATCTCAACTTTCAGACGGTCGTGTGTTTTCCGGTTATGGAAGGAGTTATCGAGCTAGGTACCACTGAACATGTAAGTTTTTTCACCTTCATCTATCATTAACTAATATTACTGTTTTGTTATTCACCAAAATAATCATGTTACTGAAACTTGTTCTTCGTGTGAAGGTCTCAGAAGATTTCAGTCTAATCGAGCGGATCAAGACTTCTTTCTTGAATAATTTTCATGTCAACGATCCTATTAAGTCAGGAACTGCATTGAAATCAAGGAACCAGGAAGATCTTGCTTATGTAGCATTTGATAATAATGTTGAATCAATTCCAGAAATTGGGTACGAAATAGCCAGCAAAACCTCTCCTGATGGTAGTTCAAATGCATTCCAAGCCAATCAACCACTGGATGAAACTTTCATGGTTGAAAGGATAACCAGTGGCACTTCTCAAGTCCAAAGCTGGCAAGTTATGGATGATGAGATAAGTAACTGTGTCCATAACTCCATGAATTCCAGCGACTGTATCTCACAAACTTTTGCCAGTCCTGAGAATATTCCTTCTTCACCCAAGTGTAACAACCCTTCTGACCCTTTTGCCCGAGATATTCAAAAGTGCAACAACCCAAAAATGACGCTAGTAGATCCTCGAGGTGATGATTGGCATTATCAGAGAGTTCTATCTGACCTTTTAAAAACCTCTGATCAGTTACTCATGAAAATGCATTCACAAAAGTTTCATCAGGAATCAAGCTTTGTTTGTTGGAGGCCAGAAAGGGCAACGGATTGCCAATGGCCAAGATCAGGAACTTCACAGAAGTTATTGAAGAAGGTATTGTTTGAAGTTCCTCAAATGCACATGGATGGTCTGCATGAATCTCAAGAAGAAAATGACTATAAGGAGGGAATGAGACTAGAGACTGATGAAATTGGCATGAACCACGTAATGTCAGAAAGAAGGAGAAGAGCAAAACTAAATGAAAGGTTTTTAACCCTTAGGTCAATGGTCCCTTCAATCAGTAAGGTAATGTATATTTCACTGGTGCATTTATTTGCTTGATTGTCACTTATTGCTGAAATTAATGAAGTGTACAATTTTTTCAGGATGACAAAGTTTCAATACTTGATGATGCAATTGAATACCTTAAAAAGCTTGAGAGAAGGATAAAAGAGTTGGAAGTTCAAAGAGGGATAGCAAATATGGAGCCGGGGACTAGAAGATCACCTCAAGATATGGTAGAAAGGACTTCTGATCATTATTTTAGCAAAAACAACAACGGAAAGAAATCAGTTGTAAAAAAGAGAAAGGTCTGTGGCGTGGATGAGACAGGAAAAGAGATTAATTCAGATGCTTTAAAAGGAAGTTATGCTAATGATATTACTGTGAGAACTAGTGACAATGAAATTGTGATCGAAATGAAGTGCCCCGCAAGAGCAGGAAAGCTACTAGAAATTATGGAAGCAGTTAATAGTCTCAGTATAGATTTTAATTCGGTTCAGTCAACAGAGGCTGATGGAAATCTTTATCTGACCATTAAATCTGTGGTGAGCACTTCTGGTTTTATACTATTATGCATTCAGGAGAGCATAACTAGCTACGAAATGATCTTTTCTTATGCACCTAAATTGCCTTTTTCTAAAATTGGTCATCCTTCTATTTTCAGCTCACAGGAGCAACTATTGCAACAACCAAAAGAATCAAACAAGCACTTCAAAAAGTGGCTTCGAAGTTCTGATTTTTTTTTTCTCTTCACCTTAAACCATGGTGGTGTTCAATTCAGCTCTTGCCACTGCATACAGAATTCATGAGATCAAAGGAGTCAAAATAGAATATCTTTTTGAAGATTTTCCACGAAAGGAAGATGCGGTCTCACTCTTTCGGCTATACCTTAACTCATGGTGATGCAACGTGGACTTTTTGGCACTTGTAAATGGTTAGGTAGGCTTAGCTGACTAGATTCATGTACTGTCATTAGCTCGTATGGCATCACACTGGTTGACCAATGACTAAATACCGATAGAGAGAGAGAGGTCCATTGTTAATTATGATAGCCTTCAGAGCCATGCTTAAAGTTGAAAATGAACCAACAACTTAGATAATTTTCTTAGTGTTCTAACTAAAAGGAACAACTATTTCTACCATGAATCAGTAATTCAGAATTTGTTTATGGATTTCTCAGTCACAGCGAATCTACATCTTCTGTGATCCAAGAAATGTATAGAGATTCACACATGCTCAACTTGTATCCTACTAAAACTAGAACAAACTTGAACAGTAGAATTGCCGACAGATTAATAATATTTTAACAGGTGANTAAGGTAATGTATATTTCACTGGTGCATTTATTTGCTTGATTGTCACTTATTGCTGAAATTAATGAAGTGTACAATTTTTTCAGGATGACAAAGTTTCAATACTTGATGATGCAATTGAATACCTTAAAAAGCTTGAGAGAAGGATAAAAGAGTTGGAAGTTCAAAGAGGGATAGCAAATATGGAGCCGGGGACTAGAAGATCACCTCAAGATATGGTAGAAAGGACTTCTGATCATTATTTTAGCAAAAACAACAACGGAAAGAAATCAGTTGTAAAAAAGAGAAAGGTCTGTGGCGTGGATGAGACAGGAAAAGAGATTAATTCAGATGCTTTAAAAGGAAGTTATGCTAATGATATTACTGTGAGAACTAGTGACAATGAAATTGTGATCGAAATGAAGTGCCCCGCAAGAGCAGGAAAGCTACTAGAAATTATGGAAGCAGTTAATAGTCTCAGTATAGATTTTAATTCGGTTCAGTCAACAGAGGCTGATGGAAATCTTTATCTGACCATTAAATCTGTGGTGAGCACTTCTGGTTTTATACTATTATGCATTCAGGAGAGCATAACTAGCTACGAAATGATCTTTTCTTATGCACCTAAATTGCCTTTTTCTAAAATTGGTCATCCTTCTATTTTCAGCTCACAGGAGCAACTATTGCAACAACCAAAAGAATCAAACAAGCACTTCAAAAAGTGGCTTCGAAGTTCTGATTTTTTTTTTCTCTTCACCTTAAACCATGGTGGTGTTCAATTCAGCTCTTGCCACTGCATACAGAATTCATGAGATCAAAGGAGTCAAAATAGAATATCTTTTTGAAGATTTTCCACGAAAGGAAGATGCGGTCTCACTCTTTCGGCTATACCTTAACTCATGGTGATGCAACGTGGACTTTTTGGCACTTGTAAATGGTTAGGTAGGCTTAGCTGACTAGATTCATGTACTGTCATTAGCTCGTATGGCATCACACTGGTTGACCAATGACTAAATACCGATAGAGAGAGAGAGGTCCATTGTTAATTATGATAGCCTTCAGAGCCATGCTTAAAGTTGAAAATGAACCAACAACTTAGATAATTTTCTTAGTGTTCTAACTAAAAGGAACAACTATTTCTACCATGAATCAGTAATTCAGAATTTGTTTATGGATTTCTCAGTCACAGCGAATCTACATCTTCTGTGATCCAAGAAATGTATAGAGATTCACACATGCTCAACTTGTATCCTACTAAAACTAGAACAAACTTGAAAAGTAGAATTGCCGACAGATTAATAATATTTTAACAGGTGAAGGTCTTTTTCTATTAAATCACTGTTTATGTTTATTATTAATTTCTTTATCATCTTTCACTTTCCACCTTATTAACATGTGATAGCATTGCTTTTAGTGATTTTCCTCCCATTTCTGATTAGACACTCAAACTTGCAGAGGGTGATGAAATAGTAGAAGGATTCAAGGGATATAGACTCTCTTCTTTATAATAAAATACTATAACCAACCAGTGGATATAATAAATTGACTGAGTTCATGTTTTCACCAACCACTTCATTCATTTTTATTTGTTTATTCCCTAATCACACTTAGTCTCTGACAAATTAAGTTTACAGTAATCTTGTTTATGCTTTTTAATATTCAGAGATTAAAGAAGAACTTTGCTGGATTTTGACGGATCCACGCTTGAACAGATCATAAAAAGGGGTGGTGGAGCCACCTGCATTTCAATTTTATTTGGCCAAATGTATTATTTTAAGAGTAAATCGTCAATTTAGATTTGATGCTTGTGTCACTAAGTAAACTTTGATTATCAAATTAGGCCTTTAATTTTATTTTTTTTGTTGTTTCTTCAATCTTTGAAAATTTTCACAATTAAATTAATTTCTAATGATTTAGTTTAGTAAATTATATTCCCCGATACGTACGTTTTTAACTACTAATTTAGACTTTAATTTTAGAATGCTGAGCGACGGTGTTGATAGATAAACTATTTTTTTTATAGACTAACATGATGATTAAGTTTATAAGAAATAATAATATGATGACACTGTTTAAATTTATTGAAAAGCTAATATGGTTAGTACAAATTTTGAAGAACTTATGTGGAAACACAGTAATTTAAGAAATCCATGCATTTAAAATTAATCTTTTTAATGTCTATAATGAATTTTTATATGCAATTTAATTAAAAAATAAATAAATAAAAAGTTATATTATTATAAATAGACTCTTCAGCTTTCCCCGCAATACTTTTTGTGGCTACTTTTTAATTGTAATATGTGTTTTCGTGATGAATTTTGTTGTTCGTATTTAAACAGGTAAAGTGAATGTGTTACGTAGACGACATAGATTATATAAATCCTTTTAGTATGTAGTTGATTAATTTGAAGCTATCTTTATATTGATGGATTGTTGATTTTATGAAAATTATATTGAGTATTTGAATAATTTGATTGAAATTAAATAAGGTAATGTATCCATTGAAAATTATACATAATTTATAAAAAAAAAATGAGATGATGTAACTAATAAATAAGTTTTAGAAAAATAAATAAGTTGTGTAAAACTAACATGGTTTTAACGTGAATAAGTCATGTCAAAGTTGTACAATTTTAACTAAAAATACTTTTAACTCTAATTATGTTAATTTATCATGATTTCAACTTTAAAAATAGTTTAAACTAAAATTATGTAATTTTAATACAATTTTTTCAAAGCAAAATTATGTTATCTTAGTATGACTTGTTCTTTTTTGTATTTTTTTTAAATATATTCCATTTCAATAATTTAAAAAAAAAAAAACACCACGTTTTTGCCTAAATCATCTTATACATCAACAGCTATATAACCATTCAAAAAAAAAATTACAAATTATTTTTTATAATGAATACAGTATATGACTTGTTCTTTTTTGTATTTTTTTTAAATATATTCCATTTCAATAATTTAAAAAAAAAAAAACACCACGTTTTTGCCTAAATCATCTTATACATCAACAGCTATATAACCATTCAAAAAAAAAATTACAAATTATTTTTTATAATGAATACAGTATATGACTTGTTCTTTTTTGTATTTTTTTTAAATATATTCCATTTCAATAATTTAAAAAAAAAAAAACACCACGTTTTTGCCTAAATCATCTTATACATCAACAGCTATATAACCATTCAAAAAAAAAATTACAAATTATTTTTTATAATGAATACAGTATATGACTTGTTCTTTTTTGTATTTTTTTTAAATATATTCCATTTCAATAATTTAAAAAAAAAAAAACACCACGTTTTTGCCTAAATCATCTTATACATCAACAGCTATATAACCATTCAAAAAAAAAATTACAAATTATTTTTTATAATGAATACAGTATAAATAATTAATAATAATCACGATAACTTTTTGAAATTCTATCTAAACTCTAATTCGTTAACTATTGTCCAAAATAACTGTAAATATTTAATTTAATGTAATTATATAAATTATTTTAAAAATATTTAGTGGTTAAAAAGATATTTTACCATCTAATTATATTTACTCTCATTATTTAATAAATTTTGTACACAAGTAAATTAAGTTTACCATTAATGAATGATTTTTAATTGAAAACTAATAACAATGTTAGTTACCCATTAACGATGTTAAAAGTAAAATTAACAAAAACGAAAATTTAATACATGTTATTTAGTTGAACACGGTAATACTTTTGTAAAAGAAAAGTAAGAAATGTTAGAAAAAAAATGACTGTATTTTAAACGGAAATAATTAATATAAATAACCATAAAGTCCTGAACTATCTTTCACATAAAAAAAAAACTTCATTAATAATATTATTAGATTTTGGGCCGCCAATTTGGAATTCAGCTTAAAATAAGCGAGTGCACTCATTCAACAACCCACTCAGTTAACACAGATTAGCCAAATTTTCTGACTTAGATTTAATAATCCTACACGTGTACACTCTTAACGTAAACAAAATTCACCATTTTCTATTATATCAAATAATTTCCAAACATTTATCTTTCATTTTTCGTCACAATATGCAATATATTTATTTCTCTGAAAAAAAAAATACTGTTAAAATATTTCGATATTATACTATCAAACTGTGTACGAAATTACTTAAAAAATGTAACCAAAATAACTAAATTAAATTTTAATATACTAATAACGGGCTATTGCTTGAGTAGGGTTTTAATTTGAATCATTTATAAAATTATAGTCAAGTTTCATAGTTAAATACACAAAACCGATGTATATTACTGGGTAAGAGTTATTTATTACTATTTTAGGTTAGACTTTTCTACTTAATAATGTATTTCTTTTTATAATATTTAAAGTTGAATATACACATTGATAAAAAAATATTTTTTTTATAACGTATAACTTTAATATGATTGTTGAATAATGTCTCTTCCTCTGTTGTTTTGATTGTGATTGATACTTAAGTGAGTAGAAAAAATTACTAAAATGCGACATGTAAAATATAAAGAAAACTAACATAAAATAATAAGTTACATGTCTCGTTTTCTTAAACATAATTTAAAACAACTAAAAATATAATACAAAAATGTGATGGATGAATTCTGCAAATTAATTGGGTTATATATAAATAAAAAAATACAATACAAGAAACTTATTTTTATTCATGGATTACACATCAATTTAACTCATTTTCTAAATAGACAATTCTTTCGATCATTTAAAATATCTAAATCATAAAATGGATGGAGACAAAGTTTAAATGATATTTATAATTATTATTATTATTGATTATAGAGTAATTTTGGACTAATCACATAATGACACGTAAATGATGTTAAATTATTGTAAAAAAATGTTATCAAAGTATCATTATCCTATATCTTGATTGTTGGAAGAGAGCTCACAAGTGGACACGTTGAAGTTTGACAAGTGAAGTTGTATATAGAAAAAGAAATGGAAGGACTAAATGAAAAAGCCTTTGAAAACTTTTTTTATTTAATAATTTAAATATATTTTATTAAATTATTTGAATTAATTTTTTCTATTTGAATAACAATCTTTTTCAAATTAAATTTGAATTTAGTGTATGGTTTAGTATATTGTGTACTTTTTTATTTGAGATTACTTATATATTTTTATTTTATTTCATTTTTAAATTACAGAACATAAAATTACAATTTTATAATATGAATCTATTTTTTTAACGATGAACTAAAGTTTTATTACATATAAAAATTATTAAAAACATAAATTGAATTTTACCTAAGAAAAATATATTAAATATTAAAATAAATTTTACAATAATTATACTAAAATTAAAAACACAACATAATATTAAATATCTAATAAGTTAATATTATTTTAAAAATATATAATTCATTGTATTTTAATTATTATTTTTTATTCGTGTCATGTTTTATTTATTTTATTTAAATAAAATAGTTTAATTTATTTGATTTTTATATTTAAGTAATTTTTTATATTTAGTTTATTTTTCTTCAAGAAAATAAAATAAAAATATTTAATTTAAGTTAATTAAGATTAATTTTTATATTTAATTTATTAGAAATTTTTCTTATAATTTTCTTATATTATAAAGTATAATTAGTATATTTTATATATATGTATTCTCGTTTTGGGTCTTATATTTCTTCAATAAAATTACATACCAATAGTGTTTTAGGTCCTCCCAACTATAATCACAAATAAGTTTTAGGTCCTCTCAATATTTCCATCAATATTCGTAATTATATTTATCAAATAAAGTTCATAACCATGTCTATCAAGTAATGTGAATAATTATGTTTATTAACTAATTTCTATAATTTTGTTCATCAAATACTGACCATAAATAATTATGTCTATTAAATAATATTCATAATTTATTCATAAAAAAAACTAAGAATTTATCTCCAAATTAATAATAAAGTAAACAACTATAATATTAATATCTATGACTTTTTAATAATAAAATAATTAAATATAATTTATTAAATCATTTATAGCCTAAACAATCTTTTAAATCTTTACATATCCGTAGTTATCTTAATGTTGATATGGTTTAGACATACATAATTCCATTTGATACCAACTTAGTTATACTCAATTTAAACTAAAATCTAATTTAAGTTGAATGACCAAACAAAATATTTTACAAATGAGTTTACTTTTACAAATATTGCAGACAAAAAATTAAAGTTATGTTTAAGATTATAATATAGAAACTTAACTATTTTATTTTTGTTTTGTGAAACCACAGTATTTTTAATGAATCTCCTTTTTTTTTTCTATCCAATCATTTCAGTCTATTTAATCACTCATTTAGTTCCGGATTCCAATAATTTTAAATTGTACACCCCACCACACAATCCTCCAACAATGTTAATATTTTTAAAGAACCCTCCAATCAAACAACACTCTGAACACCAATAAAACACCACCGATATCAGTGACAGTCTGTCTTCTCATATAATTACACCAGATCACCATCCACCACCAAAATTCAACATATAAAAAAAATAATGATACTTTTGACAATATTTGTCTACGTATAGTGTTAAAATGTTTGTCAAATAAAAGTATCATTATCTATAAAAAAACAAATTCCAACAACTACAATTTCTCACCATGTACGGATATCCCTAGTCTGTTTCACACTCCTTGCCTGTATATAATTTTCATAACACCATTGCGTTGAATAATTGGTCTCCTTCCACGAATTGTAGACCTTTAGCAATGCAATATGGTCTCCGATATTTCCCGTGTAACAATTCATCCTTGCATTGTCTGCATGTACTTGTTTATCCTTTGGACGGTAAAATATTGAGTTTCCAACAGAAAGCATAGCAGCAATTGAAATGATATCATCCGAACACTTGAACTTTTCTGAAGCCACTATCATTTTTTACAACATAGGATCAAGCGGGAACTCTGCCATCCTTCTACCGACCTCGGTTAACTCACCCAGATTATTTAATGCACTTAATGCAAATAGAAGATCCAAAGCTTTTAATAAGGCCTCAACAGGGGAGGATCCATAAAATCAAAGTTCAACAAGTCATGAATACCAAGACTTTTTAAAGTCAAAACTACATTTGCAAGGTTAGTTTGCTGTATTTCAGCAACACTCATAGCTGCAACACGCCGTGGCTGAGTACATGCAATCATTCCATGCTTTGGTAACCAACTTCATGAAGATATAGGGGGATCTGTGTTGCCTTTCCAGAAACAGTTTCTCCAACAATTACAAGTACCTGGTGATCATGAACAGCTTGGAGCAATTTATCCCGATAGTGGTACATGGGTAGCTTTTTCCTTTCCTCCTGAAGTGCCTCCAGAGCTGACTTTGCTCTGGACTTTTCATAATCAAATTTATCTCCATCCATTACTGTGCCTTGACAAAATCAATCGGGACCTCAAACACATAATGATAATAATCACAGACTTGTTTTTTACTTTATAAACCAAACCTCAGCATTGCCTTTCCAATTTGATTTTCCTCCCAAGCCTCTTGTTCAGCAAATGGATTCATTTTATCCTCAGCATTTGGATCCCTGTAACGCTGCATAGCCACCTAACATCTCTTCTACTGATTAACACCACCTTCCTCGTCATAAGTTTCTGGCATTCCATAGTCATTCACATTGTCAGCCTCCTCTGTGCCCTTCTTCACAAGGTCATATATCTCTTTCTTGTACCTCAGTTCATGATATTCTGCTTCTGAAAGCTTCACGCCTCCAAACAAATATTGCTCATCTTCTATATCACCTCTCAGTTCTCGTAATTTCTTTTCCTCCCTTTTCTTTAAGTATTCTTGCCTCTTGAAACCTTTCTCAAATCTTGAATATCATCCTGCTCTGCGACACGAGATCTTCGAATTGCCTCTTCTTCCTCCTTTCGTGATAATTTTATGTTCAGTCATATGCTGCTCTAATTCCTCCTTCTCTCTTTGATCTTTCAACCTCTCTTCTTCAAACTCAGAATCATTATCATCATCAGGGGAAGTTCTTCTCTTCACTTGTCTCTCACTTTCCTTTCTCAANTGTGCCCTTCTTCACAAGGTCATATATCTCTTTCTTGTACCTCAGTTCATGATATTCTGCTTCTGAAAGCTTCACGCCTCCAAACAAATATTGCTCATCTTCTATATCACCTCTCAGTTCTCGTAATTTCTTTTCCTCCCTTTTCTTTAAGTATTCTTGCCTCTTGAAACCTTTCTCAAATCTTGAATATCATCCTGCTCTGCGACACGAGATCTTCGAATTGCCTCTTCTTCCTCCTTTCGTGATAATTTTATGTTCAGTCATATGCTGCTCTAATTCCTCCTTCTCTCTTTGATCTTTCAACCTCTCTTCTTCAAACTCAGAATCATTATCATCATCAGGGGAAGTTCTTCTCTTCACTTGTCTCTCACTTTCCTTTCTCAAAATCATCTCATCGTCTTGGTCATCTTGAACTTCAATTTTCTTCCTTAAACGTCTTTTTTTATGATTGTCAGACCTTCTAGATGAAGTAGTAGTTACTGAAGATTTATCCACAGATTCATCGTCACTATCGTCATCACCCTTCAAAATTGTGTAAGACTTCTGCTTCCTGGCCAACATTACAACTTCTCTCTCTTGTTTCTGATATTGATTTAAACCAGATGATTGGCGAGGAACTCTTGAGTAAATTTCTTCCGCAAATGCATCATGAGTATCCATTAATGGGATCCCGAACTCCAGACCATCATCACCCCCCATTGTCACTTAACCTAGTCTCCTTCAAATTATATGCAGGGCTGAATCGGACAATTAAGATCTCTAATTCAACGTAATCAAACAGGAGAATCCTAATTGTTCAATGAATTGAAATTTCCTAAAAGAAATTCAACAAAACAACAAAAGCCCCAATTTGAGAAAACCCTAACCCTAGATCTTTCCAAATCCAGCAAGAACGATGGACAAAATTACTATTTTTACCTGTTCCTGCAAAATGCTGACTGCTCTGAACCGAAAAACAAAGACTGCTGTAGTAAAAAGTTGCCTGCACTAAATCCGAAAAACAAATAAAAAATAAATAATATGATTCAAGTTAACTATTTAAGCTAGAAAATTCTTGTGATTAAGTCTATGTGCTTTCAAATTTATAAAGATTTGTTATAAATCATATATCTCAAAAACTACAAAAATAATAATAAAATATAAATACTTTTATCTTTTTCTAAAATATCTATAAATTACAAACTCTGTTAATTAAATCATAACTACATCTGATTATATATCTTTAATATATAAAGATAATAATAAAACATAAATATTTTTATTTTCCACAAAAATATTTTTTAGATTGCAAGATATACAAACTAAATCAAAACTTACACAATTCGATCTGAAGATTAAATTTTGTATTTTAAATTAAAAATATTAATAAAATATATCAGTAAGACAAATACGTACCCCAAATACGTATGATGTTATATACGTAATATAATAGTAAAAGGGTAATAATAACGTTAATATAATAATGTGATGTGACGGTTTTTTTTATAATGTGCTAAGAAAGTGAGTGAACTTATACTGTAAAGGAGTATGATAGCTATACTTTTTTTTTGCATTTTTCGAGCAATAGTTATTTCTTATATAAATGCAAATTTAAAGCCCTTTTGTGTCGCAGTCAAATTAAAAAGTGAGAATTTATATATGATCATTAAAATATGAATAAAATTCGTTAATTACAAACCATTCATTATATTCTCTCTACTTCAATCAATTTATTTAAATAATATACTTTTAAAATATTTATATTTAGATAGATTATTTATGGAAAATTAATTTATATGAGATTAAAAAACTAGAATAAACAATTAATAATGCATCACAAATTGAAACATTGGTTTTTTTATATTGTGGGAAGAAGAAATATTACTGTACAGGAAAAAAGGTTGGTGAAGTGGCAGAAACTGATTGCAAAGAGAAGAAAAAAATCAACAAAAATAAATTGAGTGGTTCCCGCCAGAGCTAAAACCCTAATGACAGTTAGTGACAGTAATTACTAATAAATAAAGCGTCACGTTTACTCAGTTTTCAAAACTAAAGGTGTGTTTGGTTGCGAGTCCTGAAACCAGAGACACGCACGATTTGGTTAGCGTTCGACGCAAAAGGAAGTGATAATTTAACGAGTAACCAAACACGTTCTAAGTGTAGTAGTAGTGTTGTGGACATAAACCCTGACCTGTCACCACTGTCAACACCATAAACCCTAACTAGGATTTTGTAATTCACTTGTGAGTTTTGAGCAGCCACCGTCAGAATCCCAAAAAATGGACCCCAAAAACGTGAAATCTGACCTTGTTCTCATCCTCGATTACGGTTCCCAATACACGCACCTCATCACTCGCCGAATCCGTAGTCTCTCCGTCTTCTCTCTCTGCATCTCCGGCACCTCCTCCCTCGCCACCATCACCGACCTCAACCCCTCCGTCGTCATTCTCTCCGGTGGTCCCCACTCTGTTCACACCCCCGACTCCCCCTCCTTCCCCGATGGCTTCCTTTCCTGGGCCCGCTCCCATGGCGTCGTTGTCCTCGGCATCTGCTACGGTCTCCAACTCCTCGTCCAGCGCCTCGGCGGCGACGTCCGAGTCGGACACAAGCAGGAGTACGGCCGCATGGAAATCTGCGTGGACAAACCCTCCGCGCTCTTCCCGTCCGGGAAAGTTGGTAAACGACAGGTCGTTTGGATGAGCCACGGCGACGAGGCTGTCACGCTCCCCGATGGCTTCCACGTCATCGCCCGCAGCGACCAGGGCGCTGTCGCTGCCATCGAAAATCCCTCCGCTAAGTTCTATGGCCTCCAGTATCATCCTGAGGTAGTTTTTAGGAAACATACTTTCAATTGGATAGAATATGATTCTTGCCCCTCTAATTTTGGTTTCAAATCATTTGATTTTGGAGAGAGTGTTTTGTCGTCTTAACTTTAGCATCATATCATAATCTTCAATGAAAGCTATCTGTGGTTTCTAAAGTAATATGAACTACGTCAAGATTTTTGCAGGAAAAAAATTGAGATATTCTGGTCACTAAACGACGTATTTTGGCTATTTTAATCTTATGTGGTGTTCGTTAGGGATTAATTTTGGGTGTTTTCTTGTGTAGGTGACGCATACAGAGGAAGGAATGGAAACCTTGCGGCATTTTCTGTTTGATGTCTGTGGCGTGGAAGCAGGGTGGAACATGGAGGATGTGATGGAGGAGGAGATAAAGGTGATTAATGAGACGGTGGGGCCTGATGAGCATGTCATATGTGCTTTGTCTGGTGGTGTGGATTCCACTGTTGCTGCAACGCTTGTGCATAAGGCTATTGGCGGTAGGCTTCATTGCGTGTTTGTGGATAATGGGCTGCTTAGGTATAAGGAGAGGGAGCGTGTGATGGAGACCTTCGAGAAGGATCTTCATCTGCCAGTTGTGTGTGTTGATGCCGTGGATCAGTTTCTTACGAAGTTGAAAGGTGTGACGGATCCGGAGACCAAGAGGAAGATTATTGGGAAGGAGTTTATTTGTATTTTTGATGCATTTGCTCAGGAGCTTGAAGCTAAGCTGGGAAAGAAGCCGGCTTACTTGGTTCAAGGGACGTTGTATCCGGATGTAATTGAATCTTGCCCTCCACCTGGGACTGGGAGAACCCACTCCCATACCATTAAAAGTCATCATAATGTTGGAGGTCTTCCGAAGGACATGAAATTGAAGCTTATTGAACCGCTTAAGCTACTATTCAAGGATGAGGTCTTACTTTTGACTTTTGATCAACTGGCTTGTTTGAATGGCTTGGATTCTCATGTTATGTAATACATTTTTTCTGTTCGTGTGAATTTAGGTTCGTCAATTAGGGAAGATCTTGAATGTTCCTGAGGCATTTCTAAAACGCCATCCATTCCCTGGGCCTGGTCTTGCTGTGAGAGTTTTGGGTGACGTGACTGAAGGAAATGCTTTAGATATTCTCCGGCAGGTATATGAATTTTTTATTTTTTGTGCTTGTGTATACTTTTAGTGTTGATTGACGATTACCCTTTGGTGTTTACCTTTGAAAATTGTTTTTCAGGTTGATGAGATCTTCATCCAATCAATCAAGGACGCTGGGCTCTATGATTCAATATGGCAAGCTTTTGCAGTTTTCTTGCCTGTTCGATCAGTTGGTGTTCAAGGTGATCAAAGAACACACTCCCATGTTGTTGCTCTTAGAGCTGTTACAAGTCAAGATGGAATGACTGCAGACTGGTAAGATTTGAACTCTACTGTTTGGCTATGGTACTGCGTAACTTTTTTATATTTCCCTTATTAATAATGAATGTGCTCCATCGGCTAATGTACATGCGAAAAATATATTTGGTTCTCCCGTGCTCCGTAGCCTTATTTTTTATTCTCATTTAATTGTGTACTAAATTACCAATTGTTGGTTGAACATGCTTCTGGTAAACTATTGAATGGAACAAATAAAGTTTGTTAGGCATATGATGTGCTTCCCATTATATGACATGATATTCTGCTTTTTCAATATTGTTGCGGTGGTATGTTATTTGACACGGGAAGGTAACAGGAGTTCAAGAACATCCATTCCTATCCCAGAATTTTAATTGCTTATAAGTAGAGAAGAAAAAATTGAATGATTTCAGATAAAGTAGTGTCAGCATATCATTTCATTATGTGATATCACGATCTTCAAGTTTTTTAAAATTATCCTATTGACTTCAAATAATCTTTTGCTGTAACTGCATGATGAAACAAATTTCAGGTACTACTTTGAGCACAAGTTCCTTGACGACGTAGCCAGAAAGATTTGTAATGGTGTTCGTGGTGTAAACCGTGTTGTGCAAGACATTACCTCAAAGCCACCATCAACAATTGAATGGGAATAATTAGCATTTATGGTTTTTATTTTACAAAAGTTGTGAGGCATTATCAAGTTGTATATGCGCTAAGGCTGTGACTATTTTCTTATTTGATTATCTTAGTTTGGAGGGATGTTATGGGAGCGGGAATTTCTAGTGGAATTGATATGATTGTTGTGACTGTGATTGGAATAGGAGTTTAGAGGACAATAACCTAAATTATTACATTGTAATGATTTTTTGCCCCCATGAATCAATTTTATTGATGTAGTTTTTGAAACATGGGATTGGAGGTTGGATGTTAGCATTTTCAGGATGTATTCGAACTCTGATAAGTTTCTCATTATTCTCTATGATTGTCGTGCTAACAAAATTGACAATCTTTTATATTTTTATAAGCAGTCACCAAGTATGGTATATTTTGTTTTCAGAACATTAAAAATAAAACTACACTTTTGATGTAACAGTAGTTTTTATAAATTTTATGGATTATTTTAGTAATTAACTAGTTTAAAATTTGTGTGAACAATTTGGCTTGATGTTAGTTCTTTGTGTGTTTATTGAGTTAGTAAATATGTATTGTATTAAAAGAAATTTAGAGATTGAAAAAAAAATGGACATTTTCCAGTTTATAATTAAGTTTTAAGTAGAATTAATAAATATTTTTTAAGTTAATAATTTAGTTATGGGAAAAATGGTTTATAAATTTAGAAAGTTAATATGAATATAAAAGTATATTTCAAATAAAGGTTAGACTACTTAAAATAAATGTAAAGCAAAAATACAAAGGTTTGATGATCTAAAAATGCAAAAGTGATGGAAAAAAATGTAAAATACAAACACTTTGTAAAAATGAAAATGTAAACTCTGTAAAATTAAAATAAAAAGATTAGACTACGTAGAAAAATATAAAGATATTATTCACACACACACATATATACATATATATATATATATATATATATATATATATATATATATATATATATTTATATATATATATATATATATATATATTT